TTTTTGTTATTTAATATAATAAATATCATTTAAATTATATCTCTACACTATGTATTGGAAAATATTGTAATAAATCTGTAAAAGATGAATAGACTTCTTTCTGATATAGAATAGAATTATTTCGGTTTTACGGTTACTAGCTTCACATTTTGGTATTTAAAATTTGACAACACTGTAATGGGTCTCAAAAATCATGTTGTTGGTTCATTCGCTAGTTCCCATATTCACCGTTGTTTAAACGTAGAGTGCGCTAAAAAAACAGTGATTTTCTTAGTATGTCGGTATTTCAGGTCACCGGCCACGAAAGTCCGTAAAATTCAATGTCTGTTCATATACCTCGTTTATGCGTTACAATATCGTTGATGTATATCTCCATATTTCGATACAAGAAATCAGTACCTAAAGTAATTCCATCTTATATTATACATCTACGTACATATCACAAAAAGCCGTATCCGTGTTTTAATATTAATATACATATTAAGTATGTAATTATTTGTGCTTCAGTGTTTTTAAAAATAATTGTTAGCTAACTAAATTACTTCTTAAAATTATTTTTATTGGCCTGAGACTTTTGATTCTACCAAATCTTATTTAATTTAAATAGCAATTGATCGAGATGAAATTTGAAGGGCGTTATGAGGGATGTAAAACTCCAGCGATATAAAATCTTGGCTTCCAGAATTCATTCTTTTGGAAGATAAATCTTTCAATTTTATGAAATTTATTATATAAAATTATTATATATGAAAGAATAAACAATTAGCAGCTGACATTTTATATTATGCATCTATGTACATGACAAAGAGCTCTATCCGTATTTTAATATTAATATACATTTCATATACATAATTATTTATACTTGTTTTTAAAAATAATTTTTAACTAACTAAATTATATCCTAAAATTATTTTTATTGGCAACTGGTGATTGACTATCATATATTTATTTAGTTGTAAATAGCCATCGATCAAGATAAGATTTGAAGGGTGTAAGATGTGAAACTCCAAAGATGTAAAACCTTGGCTTCGAGAATTCTCTGTTTGGGAAGTAGATTCTTTAATTTTACGAAATCTTCTTTAATTTTACGAATTACATATATTACATAAAACAAGTAATTAGTAACGTTAGGTCCGATGCAGACAACCGATATGTGGCAAATCATTGCAACAGCGATTCTTTTGAAAGAGCAGAGATATACATAATATTCTCTTATCCTTATTTTTATGAAAAAAAAAAGAATTTTGCGCTTCTAGTCTTTCAAAGCACCGTCGCCCTGGCATGATTCGAGCGTCTAAAGCAAGCAAAATCGCACGCAAATCCATATATACATATAAACATCCGTCTCTGGACAATATCAATCGGCTGGGAACACTGTCACGATGTAATTCTTATCTAATTTTTGTACTATTTTCTGTCTTTCTTTGTCTTTTATACGACAAATAAAGTTATTTTCTGAACAGTTAAATTCCCCTCAGAGGAGGGTAGCGGATCAATTGGAACAATATTTTTATTTTGTACTAAGATTCAGCTAACTGGGCTATAATTCTGAAAAATCCCGAAGACGGATCGCGTGATTTTAGAGGAATAGCGCAAATATAAAATTTTAGCTAGTTTTTAGAATTAGGAAATCCATTAAATTCTGTACGTGTAACGTTAATGTACAGATTAATGATAAAAATTCGAGAAATCCTAACATTTCACCGTATAATCGTAATGATTGAAGTTTAATAGAATGGCGAAAAAATTTGTACAGCAAAGAATAATTATAAGGAATAATTATAAGGAAGGCAAGGAATGTAAAAAATATATTAATAAGAGTTGTGGTTCATCGAAATCGTCCGAGAGCTCGCATTGAATTTCCCGGTCAGCTTTCCCTGTCGAACATCGTTTTTTATCATGACTGTAGTCTTATCTCTTCCAATGTTTATGTTTATACCTCTCCTATTACGTGGATTCCATATATATACTACCGAACTTTTTTACAGCAAGTTTTATCTTATTTAAATTTCGTTGTTTTGGTGGATTTTCAGTTATGAAAAAAATTCCCAATATTTTTAAAAACATTTGAATTTTTACAAATTTCAAGAATAGAAGTGTCTTTAATTTCTCACTTATTACACAACGTAAAAATATCTTCAAAGAAATAAAGATTCGAGGTAATCAAAAACAAAAGCTTTATATTTAAAAAAATTTTTAAATAAAATATTACATGATT